CTCTTTATTAACGTTCACAAGTGTCATTATGAATAGCTTTATACTCTTCGTAAACATCACAAGTCAGTCATGCATTGAGCAGAAGTGTTGTATTCGGTTTAATGTGCTTAATGGTTTATTACTGCTTTTATGTTTTCAATATTCAGGTTATAAGACTGTCAGTGTTAACAGGCGGTGATAAACATCAGATGAGGTTATAATTGCAGCTTCATTCCATTTATTGCATAAAAAGATTAAATCTCCGATGTGCCTGCTGAATTGCATTCGTGGTACGGCCATTATTCCTCACACAGCTGTTGAATTTCAGATAAGAGCTCGAACAAATTTTCCGATCTCTCTTAATCTCAGCATCTCGTGTGTGTTCGTGCACACGCTCTCTTTCCAAAGCTCTGGCTCACACGCTCACAGATCAGGTGATAGCACAGAGCTATTGTTTCGCTCAGGTCTTTGAGAGCATTGTTCAAAGGATAGATAGCTCACCTTCCAGCGCGAGATGCTGATTTCATCCATTCTAAAGCTAAAATGTTCCCCAACATGAATCCAATTTTCCTGGCGTTCCTCTCTGAAGGCAGGGATTAAAGGCGAGCTGTCAGTCTGTGCTCCTCAGATCCGGAGAACCGTCACCGCTCTGATGCTCTCAGCGTCTCTCGCCGCTATCTGGAATCTGTGCGCTTTAATTCACCTCTGCGCTCAGTAGCAGATTTGGTTCACAACATGAATCCAATTTTCCTGGCGTTCCTCTCTGAAGGCAGGGATTAAAGGCGAGCTGTCAGTCTGTGCTCCTCAGATCCGGAGAACCGTCACCGCTCTGATGCTCTCAGCGTCTCTCGCCGCTATCTGGAATCTGTGCGCTTTAATTCACCTCTGCGCTCAGTAGCAGATTTGGTTCACATTAAGCATGCAGGCAGGGCATTGGCGCTTTGACTGTTTAATGATGCCGTTTGCGATACTGGAGTCTCATTGATAAGGTGAGGATTGCTCAGATGAGACTGATGCTGAGCTTTCTCAAACTTTAGTTCACCCAAGACCGCAAGGTCCTGGAGGGGCAGTCGGTTTTCTCTTTTATTATTTCTGTAATTATAATCTAGCGTACATTTTCCAACCCGCCTTCTGTGAAACCCGAAAGGAGAATTTTTTTTAGAACATCCCAGTTGCTCTTTTCTATACAATGACACGAACAGAAACACAAAAACACGAGAGCGAGTAAGCAATGGTCTGTCCCTTTAAACATGACCTAATAATCATTGTATATTAAGACAATTATTTTACATGCTTTCTGAAATGGTATGTTTAAATATGCAAATGCCGCATCTAATTCAGTATGCACTCATTTGCTTAAATCTCCAGAACAGATATCCGAACATTGGATAAAGCCAGGCTCAAAATTCCTGTTTGGTTTTGTTGACATATTAGAGTTTTTCCAGAGGAGATTTTGAATTTCAATACTTTTCAGCATGTTTTTAGGAGTATACTTTTGAATATAAATCAGCGTGACTGATATATGAACAAACCTCTCAGTAAAAATATAGTTAGGAACAAAACTGTAAAGTTTGGTGTATGCAAGTGCTGCTGAAGTGGGGAAACAAACTCTTTAAAGATTGATTGGACTGAATTAAAATCTTTAGACGCAAATAGATAAAGTGCAATAGAATAGACACTTAAATGTGTATTTTGGATGTTTTCTTTCCGCTAGTCTGAAAAAGACATGTTATCAAAGCAAAACAGACCTTCACATCTCTGGCAGTATTGTAAGAACTAGTGACCTAAAAAGAATTTGCTCTAATTTGAAGCTCATGAAATCTAATGCAAAACTTGAAAATCCATTTGTGCCCAGTTCACTGGCTTGGAAGTTGACTGGATTGAATTTCAGTTTTATAGGATGATAATAAGTTAAAGACTTTTTGCAGGCATATCGCTCCTTGGGGCCCTGCTTGGACACTGCTTGTCTAAAGGGCAGCAAGGATTGACACGCAGGCAGATGAATGGAGCTTGGACTGGGCTTATTTGTGTTTAATGTGCCATAAGGGGATGAGGTAATTAGCTTTAGGTCAGGTAGTAAAACCGGTGCATATGAATGAACACCGTGCAGCTCATGTAAAAGAGAGCGTCTTGGCTGTCTGAATATTTTAGGCCAGCATGGACGTAGTTGGTCCAGATCTGCTATATATTCACTTGGTTTCAGATGTTCGGTATGTCAGCAATGGCACAGAAATCTTTAACATCTACAATGATGATGCACAATACAGTGATAAATACAAGGGCTGTCAAGCGTTTAAAATGTTTAATCTAATAAATTATGTGATGTGCCAATTAATTAACCAAATTAACTGCACATCAATTTTGGCTGAAAAATTACCCCCAGAAGATAATTTAAAGACATTGTGTTAGATGAGAAAAGCATTGAATAGACATTACAGAAAGTAGCTTTGGAAACAAATAGTTTGATTCAGCATTGCATAAATAATGATAATGAATGGTTATAAAAGTTTTTTAAACGAATATTGAAATAAGAAAATATTTTTTTAATAAAATGAAACTAAATGCGCCAGTAGGTGGCAGCAAGACACTGAGTCATTGAATAATTTAACCAATCCATTCAAACAACTGATTTGTTCAAAAATGAAACAAGTGACTGTCTTTATGAATGAGTCACGGAATCATTGTTTCACTTGATTCATTTAAAACTGCGGATTCATTCAGTAAATCACCGCTGTGTTGCTCGGAGACTCGCAACAGTTTTGCGTTGTCCTGCATCGTGCATCGTAAGATGACATACAGGTCTAGGCAGGTGCATTATATTTTCTATAATTAATCACAATAAATAAATACCAACATTCTAATTATGCTTTTGCCCTGATTCAGGTTCACCATACACTGATTCGCTTTAAAGGGAACTAGGGAGTGGAATGAGACACACCCAGATATGCGATACAGCTTTTTTATTTTATTTGTATATATTCTTCTTGCATCCAAGCTTTCAAATTATGCTTTGCTTTATCCTTTATTTAAAATCAAGACATTAATGAACATATTATAAAACAGACTCTCTCTTAGCAGTTTGAAATCAATCATTAGGATTTGTTTTAAAAGGCATGACTAATTAAAAAGGATATTTAAATAGGATTGAATTTTAATGGTGTTCTCCCTGTTACCTTTGTGTGGGGTTAACATGAGAGGAGAGGAGAGGAGATTAGATATTCTCACACTAATTATGAGCGGTGTTCCCCAGGGGCGGGTAATGGGGCCGCTCTCGTTTCCAATTGATCCCCTGCAGATCAGCGGCATCTGAGTGCAGCTCGCCGCTCCAGCATGCTGGTCTGAAAACACACCGTCTAAAGTTCAGCTTCCCCTCAGGGCTTGTGGTTTGGACCCTTGACCTCTGAGGTTAGGCGGGAAGAACAAGTCTTTCACCACACGGCGGTTTGCTCTAGCGGTAGACGCCAATCATGAGAGGCAGGGAAAATATGGGTTTGTGTTATGCTGGGTTGTTGTGGTTTGTAGTGAGAAGTGGTAAGAGTTTAACCCCTTGATAGACTGGAGATGTTTGTACAAGGGTTGTAGTATTTTGCAGGGGTTGGCTACTTTATGGGAGTTTCCACAAACAGGGTAAAGATTGATTTTTATAGTTTATTTTTAAAACTAATAAAGGTGCGAGTCCTCTGTTCTGTTGCAGTGTTTCCCAAACGGATTTGTGAGAGAACTAAAAAAATAAATAAAATATATATAAAATAAAAACACTCAAAATAGAATACTAAAAAATATGAAATATTTGTTCACCTTCATGTCATGACATCAGAGAACTGTGAACATGCAAATGCGTTGTTAAATGATTGAAATATTAACCTAAAGTCTCATTTCAAGTAAATATTGTGCCTCAAAACCCCAAAAGAATCCCATATCTACTGATTCATCATTTTGCAATGTCATCATTTTATAGAATAGATAGTCAGGTCATTGTATAAAATATTTTAATGAACAAAAAAAAAAAGTAATCTTCAGCACTGGCCCACTTTTTGCATGCAGCTCTGTTTCTGTACGATGGACTCGTATTCAAACAGAAGCTTTCCATAAAATACTGACATATGCCAAAATACAAAATAGATTCATATAGTATGGAAGGTTGGTCTAATTCTTTTTTATTATAAAGCTTTTTTATTATAAAGCTTATATATTGAATACTATCAGACATCACTCGTGTAGCTTGGTGGATCTGACGAGGAAGCATGCAATCGGTGATGGTGAACGCTGCTATGATGAGGCGGATGATCAATGAACCTTACATCAATGGAAAGCTTATTTATGCAGCTTTTATATGATGTATAAATCTTAATTTAAAAAAATCTACCCTTATGACTGGTGTTGTGGTCCAGGATCACATATACCATGTATTGCTTTACTGTATATGAATTTACTGTATGTATTTTTCTTTAATTGGTGGTAAATTTAAGTGTATCAGTAACCTCAAACATTTGGTTTTAGCTACTAATATTTTATACATTTTAAGTATAAATCATATATTTACTGCAGTTAGTAATTTCTCAAATTTTGGTGTTACACACTACATTTTGGTAACTGCAGAGGTTTAAAATAAACCGTCTGATATAATCTTAAGTTTAGCCTTAGTTTGCTTGAGGTTGATCATTCGCTAAAAAAAACACCATGGTAGGAAAGCATGTTACTTTACTCTTTCCTTATGAGTTTGAGTCTGTCCTGTGGATGCTCTGCATTTGATTGTGTTTGTTTGTTGATCATGTCTGTGTGTTGCAGTTGGTCATGATATGAATATGAACCCGTGTGCTTGTTTATGAAGGATGAATATGAAGACTTGTTTACAGAGAGAGGCAGATCATAACCAGGTGGCAGTGCATTCATGATGCTTTTCTAATGACATGCTGAGCTCTTTTCAGACAGATGCATGTTGACCTGCAGCTCTCAGACGCTGAAGCTCTGTGTACATGAGTCTCTGTCGCTGATCAGCTCTTGTGTTGTGTGTCTGGCAGGCCTGGATCCAGAGAGACATTTAGGAAAATCCCTGGCGGAGATGGAAGCGTATCTGCACGAGGTCAGAGACACACAAATACTTCTGCCAGAAAGTAAACCACCTTCAGCTGCTTCTGCTTCAGCTTTCAGCTCAAGCGTTTCATTATGACAAGCTGTTTTGACATTTCTTCGGAATCATCGTTATATTGTTCTTTTAGATTTAGTCCATTATTGAAAAGAACCAAATGAGATGCAACAGCTTTGTATAGGACTTTATTTATTGCAAATTTACATCAACTCTATTGACTATTTAATATATGTTTTTTAATATACTTTTTTGCTCTCCAAGGTTGCATTTATTTGATTAAAAAACAAAACGGGCGGAAAAAAACAGTGTATATATATATATACAGTGGGTACGGAAAGTATTCAGACCCCCTTAAATTTTTCACTCTTTGTTATATTGCAGCCATTTGCTAAAATCATTTAAGTTAATTTTTTTTCCTCATTAATGTACACATAGCACCCCATATTGACAGAAAAACACAGAATTGTTGACATTTTTGCAGATTTATTAAAAAAGAAAAACTGAAATATCACATGGTCCTAAGTATTCAGACCCTTTGCTCAGTATTTAGTAGAAGCACCCTTTTGATCTAATACAGCCATGAGTCTTTTTGGGAAAGAGGCAACAAGTTTTTCACACCATCAGTATATCAGTATAATCAAACACAGCTGGACTCAAATGAAGGGGTAGAACCATCTCAAGGATGATCAGAAGAAATGCTGAGTTAAACAGCTTTGTATAGGACTTTATTTATTGCAAATTTACATCAACTCTATTGACTATTTAATATACGTTTTTTAATATACTTTTTTGCTCTCCAAGGTTGCATTTATTTGATTAAAAAACAAAACGGGCGGAAAAAAACAGTGTATATATATATATATATATACACACACACACAGGTGCATCTCCAAAAATTTGAATATCGTGAAAATATCGTATTTTTTAAATGTGAAAGTTTCACATATTCTAGATTCATTACATGTAAAGTAAAACATGTCAAAAGTTTTTTTGTTTTTACTTTGATGATTAGAGCTTACAGCTCATGAAAGGAAAAAATCCAGTGTCTCAAAATATTAGAATATTTCATAAGAGCAATCAAAAAAAGGATTTGCAAAACAGAAACAAACAGAGAAGCTCAAGATCTTTAAAATATGTTGATTTATGCACTCAATACTTGGTCGGGGCTACTTTAGCACAAACTCCAGCATCAGTGAGGTGTGAATGGAAGCGGTCAGTCTGTGGCTCTTGATGCACTGACTCCAGCTTCAGTCCACTCCCAAGTGTTTGAATCGGCTTTGCTTGACAGTATTCTCAAGCTTGAGGTCATCCCTGTTGCTTGTGCACCTTTTCCCACCCAATTTTTTTCTTACAGTCAACTTTGCATTTAATATGCTTTGATACAGCACTCTGTGAATAGCTGCTCTTTCAGTAATGAGCTTCTGTAACTTACTCTCTTTGTGGAGGGTGTCAATGATCGTCTTCTGGACCATTGCCAAGTCAGCAGTCTTCCCCGTTATCGTGGTTTCAAAGACCAAGAGATACCAGGAGTTTATACTGTAGGGATGCTCATTTAATGAAACTCAAATGTAAATATTCTAATATTTTGAGATACTGGATTTTTGACTTTCATGAGCTGTAAGTTGTAATCATCAAAATTAAAAAAAAAAAACTTTTGCAATGTTTTACTTTACATGTAATGAATCTAGAATATATGAAGGTATATAAGTTACAAAAACTTTTTCATGAAAATCTAATTTTTTGAGATGCACCTGTGTGTGTGTGTGTGTGTGTGTG